GCTTGAAAGATGATTGCTGTGCTTATACTTTTTACCAAAGCTAATCCTTATGCTAAATGTTACTACTCTTACGCTATGGTTAGCCAGCCTGAGAATGAAACACACAAGTGCTAGCATGCCTTCCAAGTTTTATGCACTCAGAAATCCAAAAAAAAGGACGTGTACAAAGGACTATGAAGCAAGGCAAAGAAATCTCACCTCTTCTTGGCACCCTCAGACATGAAAACAATTTGTAGCATTAAATGCTGTGTTTAAACTTCAAGGAGCATCATGACTACAGAGTCACTGCTCATTGCTACTGCCTGCCTTTGTAGTTGGTATCATGAATTAAAGTAATCTCTAAATAAATTCAAAATACAGATGAGCTATTGGATGGCAGTGGAAGTCTGGATTTTACACGAAAAATACATGTAAATTTTACCTTTTAAGGAGCAACAAAAGTTACTCAGTTAAGGTATTTTATGCTTTCTTTTACAAGTAAATTCCTAGGCTGTTGATTGCCTGAATTGCAGCGCTATTTCCTTCCTTCCTACAACCCAGCTCCCACACTAGGAAATTTTTCACAGTCCCCAGTAAAATTAAAGGAAACTCAGAAATGACATGATACATTTTCAGTCTTGTAGCAGTAACAGTTCTCATCTACTTATAAGCAGCATATGGCTTATGTCAATTTCCTGGGAAATTTTAGATTTCATGTAGAGATCTAATGGAGTTTAGTTTATATTTTCTCACAGGATATGTGTTAATAGTTTGCATATGGAAGTATTTTTTTTTAAACTGCAGCAGTAGTAATTTGGTTTTGTATTTGGAAACAGCTTTTCCTTCAGCATACCATGCACCAGGTATCAGGTGGAACCCAATTCTGCATACATTTGTGACCAAAACAAGTTGTTCAGCAGAAAAAACTATAAGAGTTCAGAAGGGAAGTCTGCCTGTGCTATTTACTTGAACCCAGCTTTAAAAGAGTTTTACTGGCATGGACCTTTGTTTAAATAAACTTTCACTTTTGGTATTTATTTGTTTGAGTAATTATACTTAAATCTCTTTTACTTAAAGTATGTTCATCTCTGTAAAAAAGACAAAGTTCATTTAATGCTTTGTATTCATTCCAAAGAAGTATAAATTATGTCTTAAAATTACTTTGGCATGTTCATTACCGGCTTTAACTCTGATCCCCAGCTGCAAATGAAAATACCCCCAGTAAAGACTAACACTCCAGTCTGAGCAATGTTTTTTATTAAAGCAGAAAGTACCTCAGCCAAATATAACATGAAGTCCACCTTGTACTCAAAATCTTTACACTGTAAAGCCTAAAAGAACTGTTAGAACTGTACTCCATCCTGCATTTAAAAATCTGTTTAATAGAAAGAACCAAACTCTGTTATGCTGAAAAAGCCTTTTTCTTTTTGCGAGGTGGTTTCTTTATCTTATTGGGATTTGGGACAAGTTTCTTGATTTTCAAAGGCTGCAAAATTACATTTGAAAGGTCAGGCTGATTACTTTCTGTATGCTTCCGCTTCTGACTTGTGAGCTTATCCCCCAGCACCTCGGCAAGCTCTTCAGGTTCCAGATTTTCTGAAGAATCTGTATCTGCATAAGCCATGGATTCTTCAGTTCTGTACTGAAACCACGGTACTTCCAAAGCTGGTATCTTTGGAATTATTGCTGCTATTGCTTCAGTGAATTTGTCAGACTGCTTTTTGAAGCCGAGTGCTAAAACGGAGGTTAAGCCAAGAAGGGGCGCGACAGTCTCGCTGAGCCGTGGCACCTGCCCTGCCGGCGTGGCACGGCTCGCGCTCAGCTCGATCAGGTGCGACGTGATCATGGCAGGTTTGGCAGACTTGCACACCAGCAAGAGAAGAAGTTCATTTCTTTCCAATGCTTTCGTAACTTCATTAACTCCAATAGCAAGCTGTCTTCTGATACTTATGTCAGTCCATCCTGGTATTTGTTGGTGGCTTTCTGCTTCCTCTTTAGGGAATTCATTGGTGCCCGCATCACACTTTCTTTCTGTTTGTTTTTTTGTAAGGGAACGTTTTTTCCTTCTTGGATTCTCAATCTTTTTAAGTCCAGTATGTTTAATCCTTTCCTCTATGGTCTCGAGTATAAAATGCATATCTTCTCCATCTATGGTTTTCCATTGGAAAACAAAGGGGTTATCTAGACACGTTTTTACAGTGGTTTTTTTTGCTTTCCGAAGTGTTGCTGTCCCTTGCTGAATTACAGACATCCTGAACTGGTTCTGTGTTTTGTCACTCTAGGAAGAAAGAGCAAGACATTAATTCAAATACTGTACTGTCTGCTGTGGACATTGTTACCAGAAGCTTCTTCTGGGAATACAGAAGAGAAACGCTGTATGTCAGTGATACTGGCATTTATCAACCTCCTCAGGCACCAGTCCTTTACACATTTTCCACAGGGCAGGTGTGGAGCTGGGTTTTTTTAAATAAATAAAAAAAAGCTGGACAGGACAGTATGGCAACAGCAGTCACAGCAGACCCTTCTAAAGCTAAACAAAAGCAGCTGGAGGTATTATAGATGTAAAAAAACACCACAAGCCCAACCAAACAACAACCCATCCCCAGAATCTGAGGTTGAAGGACCATTCCATTTTCACTGATGCACAGCTGCACTGCCCCCTGTGATATTGGAGGTAAAAAGCAAAAACTGAATCACAACATGAAACAAGTTCCTAAATTTATTTAGGATTTTTATAAATCTGCTTTTTCAATCTTTAGTCCATGCCTTTGTGTTTTGCTGTATTTGGAAGGTATGATAAAAACTTGCAGACTCTTTAACAGTTTATGCTTTCAGGGAAGGAAGACAATACCCTACAAGCTTCCAAAAGTTCAGAAGGGGTCTTCTGTGTCACCTGGACAATGCCTTCAGGGGAGTGGAGATTGTTCTAGCTCTGATTCTTCTAGTCCAGAATAGCAGTGAAGATGTGAAGTCAAGCCTGATGACAGCCTCTGGTAAATTGCAAAGCCCCCATGCCCCGGCTTGGGAACTAATGCCATCTTCATTGTTGCACAGGCAAGCTCAGAATCAGAGCAGCTCAGGTTTCTTATCAGGGGAACCATGACATGACTCCTTTCTAGGTTTCCTAGTTACCCAAGCAGGCATATAGATTGCATTTATGTACAGCTCATGAACACCTAAAAGCTGCCACCCAAAAAATACCATTTTGCTAGTCAAACCAATTCTCTGTGTACTGGTAGTGAGCCACCTTGATATAAAAAGACAAATACCCTCTTCACCCAAGTGTACTGCCATCAAGCAACATCTATCTGGATAGATTTTCACTCATTTAAACTCTTGTTTGGAGGAGAAAGATGCACATAGTGTGATTCTGGGGGCCATCCATGAGTTGGACTGAAAAGGCCAGGAACTGGATTTGATGATCCTTGTGAATTCTGAACTCAAGATGGTCTGTGAGTCTGCCTTGAACAGAATTGTATCAATGCAATGTGAACTGTTGCCCAAAATGAAAGTCAAGACCACTAAAGGAGTTTTCAGAGAACATTAAAAGAGAATTTCAAAATACATAAAAAACCAACATGGCACTCTTGAGTACTCTCAGAATAATCTATTAATACCCTGGGCCACCTCAGTGATAGTCCATCCAACCCAGTTATCTTCCTGCAACAGCGGAAACCAGAGAAACCACCTGGGGAGGACAGGGCTGGCATTCCCCTCAGCTCCCAAGCATTCATCTCAGATGTAAGAATAAAGATGTGCCGACTTAACTTATTAGTCCTTCATGGAGCTATCATTCGTGTAGTTATCTAATCCCTTTTGCTTACCATCACAGTAGCAACAACCGAAAAGTAAACACAAGTAAAAAATGGAAACTACCACAAGAATTCTTACATGTGACTGAGTTAGAATGGAAGCTTCTGACTGTTCTTTAAAAATGAGCTCTGGGTTATCCCCTTTAAAAGGTTTCGATTAGGGATGCGCTAAATGATGTCGATTTTGACAAGCAAAATCAGCAACAGACACGTATCAAAAAAAAAAAAAAAACATGAAGCATGCTCACAGTTCAAAGGTTTCATTTTTCTTTTCAAAATGGGCACCCCTGAGGAAAACAAGCGTGCAGGAATAGGGAAACAGAGCAACGAGCGAACAAACGAACACGCCCCCGCCAGCTCGCACCGCGGCCGCGGTCCCCTCGCTTCCGGCGGAAGGGCGACCGGCAAACGGCGCCCACGCTCCCCTCGGCCGGGAGCGCCAGCCGCTTCCGCCGCGGGCTCCTCCCGCTGCTGGCCACGGAACCGCGGGCTGGGCGCGGCCCCGGCACCACGCACCGCGGCCGCGCCGGGACCGCAGCACCTTCTGCCCGGGCCGCAGCCCCTCGCCCGCCCAGCACTGCGGGCCGGCCCGGGCCCGGACGGCCCCGGCAGCGGAGCGGCTCCGGCTGCCCGACCGCGGGGCCCAGGCCACAGCTGCCCCGCGCCCGCCGGCGGAAAGCCGGCCCTACCTCGGCCGTGCCGCGCTCCAGGAACGCGCCGCAGCACGCAGCACGCAGCACGCAGCCCGGCCTGCTCCGCCCCCGGCCGCGCGGGGCGGGTCTCTGGCGGCGGGCGGTGTCCGGGGCGGACGGGGCGGTGTCCGGGGCGGGCGGGGCGGTGTCTGGAGCGGGCGGTGTCCGGGGCGGGCGGGGCGGTGTCCGGAGCGGGCGGGGCGGTGTCCGGAGCGGGCTGGGCGGTGTCCGGGGCGGGCTGGGCGGTGTCCGGAGCGGGATGGGCGGTGTCTGGAGCGGCGCGGGGCCGCTCGGGCGCGTCCCGCTGTAGCCGCCCGCGGGCGGTGCCGGCGCTGCGCTCAGGGCCGCATCGGGAAGCGGCCGCAGCGTTAGAGCAAAGCAGGCACACAGCAGGCCCCCGTTGGCTCACCTGGCGTTCCCAGAGCTCGAACGCTCCCGAAGACTGGGCATAGGCGATGGCAGACCTGCTTAGTCGCACGTCAGCTAACGCAGTCAGGGCCGGGTCACCATAGGAACTTCACAGCCGCAGGGGTGTCCCTCTCTGCACTGCAGCATGCGCCGTGCTGTGCACGACGTGGTGTTCTGTGACCAGGGGGACAGGCAAGGACTGGTTCCATTCAGCGTTTCCTGCAATCTACCCTCAGCCTTTAATAAATCCTCACATGTGCGTTCGTTTTCCACATTCACCGTAGTGCACAGCATGGTAAGCACAGCTTCTTGGCCCTGAAAGAACGGAGCTTCTTTAGGGCACCGGTGCTTCAGAGATGTTTTCAATATTTTTTTAAAATCTCCTATTTACTTAAATTTACTTGGATTGTTATGTTGTTTAACCTGGACTTAAATTTACTTGGATTGTTATGTTGTTTAACCTGGACTTGTTTCCCCTCAAATTAGTTTTTTGGCATGGTTTTATGGAAGTTAGCAGGTTAAAAAATTGCAGAAGTACCTACCATAGATGAAACTATGCTTAGGGAATGACGTACATAAATGTATAGAGGCATGAATATAAATAATTGATACAAGAGGGATGGAATTTTTTTTTCTTCAATGGTTACATTTGTAGGGTAGTTTATCAATTAATTTAATATTCTTTTTATTCTGTACTTAGTAGACCAAATTAAAAACCAGCATTCACAGTGTATTTTGTGCGTGTAGCCACTTGTGTGAGGGATGACCCACGTGTTTTTCAGAGCTGCAGCTGAAGGGTGCGAGGTCCCAGGTTGGCTGGACATGGACATGGGCAGGGACTGCGGCAGAAGGAACAGTTCCAATAACTGGACTGGTTGCAGTTCAAATCACTCAAGAAATGTGTCAAATAAACGGCTTGGGAATCCCTCTGTATCAGTGCTCTCAACCTGGCGGGCTAATCCTCAGTAGTCCGCTGGAGCTCAGGCTGTCAGCGCTGGGGGCTGAGCGCTCGCTGCCCCAGCGCCGCTCCCGGCGCTGCTCGCCGCTCGGCTGTCGCAGCGGTCCCTGCGCAGTCCCCGGGTGCTGCCGGCGCCGCTCCCGGCGCTGCTCG